AAACGGCACAAGATAGGTGATGGGGTCAGCGTCACGCCGGCCGCCTTTACTTCACCCGGTACCCACTCAAGGCTGGTTCGACCTGGGAGCCAAGCTCATTTTGGAAAAATGTCCGGCTCCGCCAGGGAGCGAACCCACGACCTTCCGATTCGCGGCGAGAGTCTAGCTGCTCCGCCGCGTCGACTCTCTTCATCACAAGTAGTATTTCATAATATTTCAAAAGTATCATTTTACAAATAATGTTCACAAGTAATGTATCATCAATAATCTATCACAGGTAATCTTCCAACAATAAAATATCACAGGTACAATTTCACCACTAACAGTTTATAAATCATATACCACAAGCAATATATACAAGTGATATTTCATCAAGATTTATGCCAATTATTCTTCTTTTTCGTGCTCGCCGGCTGAAAACTCGGGCGGAAACTTCGGGCTGTTCGTCCATATCTGGGCTTCAGTCTTATTACTGAACTTGAGTTGTTCCTGTACAGCCCTTCAACAAATGTGGCTTATTTGTACGCAGAATGTTCACTGTCTCTAGAGCAAATGTACTCTTGACTTCGAAAGGTGACCTCAATTAGTCTCTTACGACATGCTTGTTGAGAAAGCTGTGAATCTATGCTAATTTTCGCCACGTGGGCAGTTCCACGGTAATGATCGGAAGCAACATTTCACTATTAGAAATAAAATTTCACTATTAGAAAAAAAGGTAAAGTCGGGAGATGAGAACCAACGTACAAAATTTGCACACGGTTATAAACCATAAGTGCTCTGCCACCAGAACAGACAGCTGATAAGAAACTGTTCGCCTGTGTCGCCGTTCGCACGTAACTCTGTAGCTACAGCGACGTTCCCCCACTTACCCCAGAGTGTCAACTCTGATACCCATTTCCTGGAGGCTGGGTAAACCCCGGGAACCGACCGGTTTCGAACGCCGACCGTGGCTGCACCGAGTCGCAGCTGGATTTGAAAGCGAGCTCCTTATCGACTGCGCTAATGCGGCCTTTATCACTATCAGAAGCAATATTTCACTATTAGAAGTTAAATCTTGTATGTTGTATAGAAAAGGACACAACATTCTATTTTAAATAAACGATAGAAGAGGACACAACATACAATCCTGTATAAACGATACAAGAGGACACAACATACAATCCTGTATAAACGATACAAGAGGACACAACATACAATCCTGTAGAAACGATACAAGAGGACACAACATACAATCCTGTATAAACGATACAAGAGGACACAACATACAATCCTGTATAAACGATACAAGAGGACACAACATACAATCCTGTATAAACGATACAAGAGGACACAACATACAATCCTGTAGAAACGATACAAGAGGACACAACATACAATCCTGTATAAACGATACAAGAGGACACAACATACAATCCTGTATAAACGATACAAGAGGACACAACATACAATCCTGTATAAACGATACAAGAGGACACAACATACAATCCTGTATAAACGATACAAGAGACAAGAGGACACAACATACAATCCTGTATAAACGATACAAGAGACAAGAGAACACAACATACAATCCTGTATAAACGATAAAAGAGGACACAACTTACAATCCTGTATAAACGATACAAAAGGACACAACATACAATCCTGTATAAACGATACAAGAGGACACAACATACAATCCTGTATAAACGATACAAGAGGACACAACATACAATCCTGTATAAACGATACAAGAGACAAGAGAACACAACATACAATCCTGTATAAACGATAAAAGAGGACACAACATACAATCCTGTATAAACGATACAAGAGGACACAACATACAATCCTGTATAAACGATACAAGAGGACACAACATACAATCTTGTATAAACGATACAAGAGGACACAACATACAATCCTGTATAAACGATACAAGAGGACACAACATACAATCCTGTATGAAGCATTCAATCTCTAAATAGAACTACGGCTGACAGATGAGTTTGAAACAATCATCTGTCTCTAGTGTAGAAGAGAACAACTTTTCAGTTTTACCGTGCCATTTATTTTGTTAGTTGATTTCTTTGTCTTATCTGACCCACTGTAGAGTGTGTTTGCCTGTCGGTCTGCGCACGCGAGACGATGGTGCATGCACGCGCACACAAACACATACCGATCAGTATCATGTAAGAACAAGTGAGGTCTGACACATCACTATCATGTTGTGCTGTTATACATCAGAGAAGGCAAGTTTTTTTTCCCTGCTTCTCTTCTATCCCATGTTATCTTTGCCATATTATTTAGGGCAGGAATCCAGTGCAATTGGCTTGGCCTCTTTTATCAGTGTTCGTTTTATAGTTTCTCTTAGACGTCCTCGTTTTCTCAACCCATCTGTTTCTCATTTCACTACCTCTTTGGTGATTCTCTACCCGTTTCTGTGTATTATAGCTGTAATTCCCTCGCTTAACGAGCATAATTCGTTCCAGAATCATGCTCGTTAAGCGAAACACTCGTTATGCGAAACAATTTTTCTTATATAAATTATGTAAAATACGACAATGCGTTCCATGTCGAAAAAAAATATTCACAAAATGTTGTGTATAACGTTTACTTAAAGAAAATTATATACATATTTAAGGAGAGTGAATCATCTTCATCTTTTCTTCAAACGCGGAACGAACCCAAATGGAATGCAAATTCGATTTTCAGAAAAAAAGGGGGGGGGGAAGTCGAAATAATTATGATACATAGCTAATTATTTTTTTTTAAATAGAAAGATGTCCAGAGATATATTTGTTTTTGCTGAAAATGCGACACAGTATTATCATTAAATTTGCATCGCGCAAAGCCACTTCCTTGTTAGGGCGATGCTTCTCAATGTAAGATGCAACAGTTTCCCATGCTTTCAGTATTCCTCTTATTTCGACAGAAGATTGTTGCTTTTCTGTTACCTTCTCTTCCTCCTGCCCTGACAAACTGTCCTCCAAAACTTCTGGCTGTGAAACAATGCAACTCCATAAGCTCTTCGGTGCCAGCTCTTGGCTGTGCTCTTCCACAAGCTTTTCGATATCATTGTTATCCACCTACAATCCCATGATGGTGGCCAAAGACACAATCTCGTTGACTACAGGTTCCACATGTACTGTCTCGAACCCCTCAAAGTCACAAATCGACAACGCTCTCCGGCCAAAGCTTCTTCCAAGCAGAAGTTAGGGTTCTCTTGGTAACCCCTTCCCCCGCCTTGTCGATCATCTTGAAATGATTTTTCCAAAACTCTTTGAGAGTGAGGTTGGTCCCTTCAGTCGCCAGAAAACAATGCTCAAAGAGTGTTTTGATGTTGAGCTTCTTAAAGTTAGAAATAACTTGCTGGTCCATGGGCTGGAGTAACGGAGTGGTGTTGGGGCGGGGGGGGGGGGGGGTCAGAAACTGGATCTTGATGAACGTAAATTCTTCAGGGAGGTCATCTTGTAGGCCTGGAGGATTCGTGTACATATATCACAATATAACACAAGTCTGAGAAAATGTGTGATCACAAGCGACACTACGATGCTACTGGAACGAGTGCTAAACACAGACTGATGTAACATGCGCACAATTCGGGACTTGCCCTCTCCTCGCCACTCGTTATGCGAAACGTTGCTCGTTAAGCAAGTCATTCTTTTACAATTTGTTTTGCTCGTTATGCGAATTACTCGTTATGTGAGGTGCTCGTTAAGCGAGACTCTACTGTATATAATATCAATATGTTATATCCCACAAAAGTATGTGTTTGAACAAAGAAAACAGAAGTTGCCCGAGATTTAAAAAAATTAGCAACGTGATGACAATTAGAGAAATATTGTGCTGTAGAAGAATCTAATTGTGCTGTATGTCAAAAGTGGAACAATGTGTATTGTGTGGCACCGTAGGGGAAATATCAACTATAAAGGCTGCCCTAAATGAGTTATGCCATACAGTGACGCCACAAGGAAATACCTGCTGATGTGCTGAAGATAGGGCCTTAGATATGTCAAAGCTAGGATTATAAAGCCTACCACCAGAGCAAGAGCAGAAATTGCACAAAAATGTTCGGAAATATCTAGTTACAGAAAGAAGAAGCTCACATGTTTAACAATGCGCACTAATATGAACAGGATAGTATTCACGGCAGGAATATCATAACTGGGAGATAGACTTGCACGAACAAACAGTCCATTATTGGTGATTACAATAGACAACATATCAGGCAATGAGAACCGGATGAATGGCGTCAGTTTTCAGTCAGTGAAACATCTGTAACCCGCCGATAATGCAGACAACGCTAGCACAGACTACACTGCAGTTTTCCAATCGTGGCTATTCGGGTCATTTGTACCTCACTATCTTCAGCTGAGGTGACCCGAGCAATGGCTGGTTGCCTTTACTTGCCAGATGGTCAGTCACAAAGCAATGGTAGATCAACCCCAGTGTTCCAGACAGAACCTGTGAATATCACAGGTCGGGAGGAAAGACATGCTGCCCTTCAGCAAGATCTGAAGATCGAAAGAGGAGAGGCAAAATAAAAGCGAGGGATGGGGTTGTGGGGGAGGGGGATGATTGGAGGTGGTGGGGGGGGGGAGGGGTGCTACTCCATGTATGTATCATCTTTTAGAACAGTCTGGGACCGTGGATGGGGGAGGGGCGGGGTTGTTGCTGGTACCTGTACGAATCATCTTTCACAACGGTCTAGGGCAAAAAGGGGAGGGCAGGGGTGGTAGGCGTGGCATTTGGAATGAGGGAAATCTATAACTTAAAAGCGATAAACGGATGAAGGGAACATCAGTAGCTTGAACGTGATAAACGGATGAAGGGAACATCAATAACGTGAACGTGATAAACGGATGAAGGGAACATCAATAACTTGAACGTGATAAACGGATGAAGGGAACATCAATAACTTGAACGTGATAAACGGATGAAGGGAACATCAATAGCTTGAACGTGATAAATCGATGGAGGGAGCATCAACAACAAGAAGGTCACAAAAATATACTTACTTGGGTATCTTGGGTGCATGAAGCTGGGGTATCTGGGAGTCAGAAGGGGGTGTGGTGGATGTGTGAGATCACGTGGCAGATTGTACAACAACGGATTGATAGGCAGGTGGGAGAAATGATGTGACATGGCAACCCCGAGGGCATTGGGTGAGCTCCCTGGGCCATGCATGCTTCCCATGGAGGCCAATGTCCTGTTACACACCCTGAGAGGTTGGTAGAGTCCGGCAGCGTCCAGCTGGCCGTTGTGAATGTTGTCTAGAAGATGTTTGAACTCCTCCCCTGGCCACATACTTAGTCTATTCTCTGTCTCGGGTGTCAGAGATTTGTCTGTTCGGGGACTTGGCGGAGAGGTAGACCTAAGTGAATGTCTCTGAAGGTGAGGGCTCGACCCACATCCGTCTCTGGTATCTCTGGCGTCACGCATGACCCTGTCTCTGCTCCGCTCTCTGTCTCTCATGTCTCTGAAGTCTCGATCCCTCATGGAATCAAACAAAATCTCTCTATCCCTCAACACGTCCAGCTCTTTTTCCCTGTTGCTGTATTCTTTCTCACGAAAATCCTCGACATCTTTGTCACTGTGCTCCAGCCTCTCTGTCCTTCCTCTGTCTGTATGTCTGTCCTCTCTCACTAGCTCCCTGGTGAGCACTGGCCTCATAGGAAAAGGTCTTGGCGGAGTAGATACAGTTGATGCTGTTGAAGGTGTAGAGTCCGAAGTGCCGATGAGCGATTCGATGGAGAACCCATGTCGTTTAGTGACAGCCGGTGTTGTAGTTGTTGCCATGACAGCAACAGCCGCCGCCATTTTTGTCAATCTCTGATTGATGACAATAGAATTGTAAACTTGCTTGAATAGTTGAGATTGGAACCCAGGATCTTTGCCAGCTGTAAATGTAGAACAATTCAAAGTGAATCTCCTAGTTGACACAGCCAAGTCCATGTACCAGCCACATCCGGTCGTTGTGTTTCTGTGAGAAGGTACAAACAATAGACTGTAAACACACGCAGATAACTGGGTCTTTAGCAACAGACATACAAAAGATCATATATCATACATACATCTATGACTGGTGGATCCATCAACCCATGGAGGGGTGACTGGTGGGTCCATGAACCCATGGAGGGGTGACTGGTGGGTCCATCAACCCATGGAGGGATGACTGGTGGGTCATCTCTTGGCTTTTTGGTTCTCTTTGTTATATCTTTATTCTCCCAACCTTCTGTAAACTAATGTCTTTACAACATTGTGTCTAGTTGAAATGGCACCACTATTAAAATGCTCGCCTGCGGACGGTAGGTCGTGGGTTCACGTCCCGACAGAGCCAACCTTTGTTGTGTTTAAATGACCTTGACAGCAAGGTCGACCCAGTCTTAAATAGGTATCAGATACAAAATGCGTGTGCGCGTATGCAGGACGTTCCAAAAGTATACTCCATCGACAGGCTATGACACATATATTTCAGTGTCACTGACATACTGAAAGCCTGATATGATAAAGTCACAAAAGCTGATGATTTGCTGAGTATATTAAACTTGTCCGCATCTCGTTTATACACCCGTGCCTTGGAACTTTTGATCAAATTGATGTCTAACATCTTCCACACAAAACTGATAACACAGACCGTTTGATGTCACTATATGGCTGGAAGAGTTCTTTGAACTGGCTCCCCGTGTGGGTTCCGCGGCCTCATTGTGGGGAGAACGTAAACAGACTCACTACCAACTTAACAAACATGACGTATGAGTCGACTAATTGAGGGGTTTCTTCAAAGTCCGAGTGCATCTTCCCGAGCCGCAAGGAACAACCAGCTCGGTACAACGGACTTCGTGATCCGACTCAGGCTTGAGTTAGAAGTAGAACGGAGCACTTATGGGTGACACCCGTGACCCATTATGTTGATCCGTTGAATAAACAAATAAACCCAGGAATAAGCCAGTAAAAACGGAGTTACGAGCACCCAGGTCCTGGCACGAAGCCTAATTCCACATGGACGAACAACCAGGACTTTCCGACTGAGCATAAGGACGGTAAACAAAGAAGAAGGAGAAGATTTGGAATCCCGAGACATGCCTGTGAATTTCATCTTTATTCTCTTCGGTTGTCTCTGCCTTTGTGGCCAGAACCTCATCTTTGAGGTGTCGGCATCAAACCAACAATTATTGAAAGGAAACGGTCTGCGAATGGTAAGTACTTGGGACAACCTAGACAACCAAACTCCAATATTCCTCCACGCAAGTGTTTTTTGTTTTGTTTTTGTTAAGTATTATTATTATTTTTTGTCGGCCGTCGAAATTCACGCTTGATTTTTGACCGAAGTGTCAATATTGGTGATTGCTCCGCCGTGGTCAGCAAGTGGTCAGTCGAGCAGAAAAAAAATGATGAGTCCACTCCAAGAGCTGCAACTAGAATAAATGTCGACACGGGCAATGAAGCAGGTTTCCATCAAGAAATGACACGACACGGGCAATGAAGCAGGTTTCCATCAAGAAATGACACGACACGGGCAATGAAGCAGGTTTCCAATTAAGAAATGACACTATCTTCTTTTTATCTTCGCGTTCACCAGCTGTAAACTCTGGCGGAAAGTTCTGGTTGTTCATCCACTTCTGGACTGCAGTCCTGTTCCAGAACCTGAGTGTTGAGTGTACTTCCGTTTGACAGATCTGACTCATCTGTATGCAGACTGCTGGTTCCTTGCCTCTCAGGAAAATGCACTCCGACTTTGAAGAAAGCTCCCAATTATTCGACTCCTACGACATGCTTTTGGGTAGGCAGTGGGTCTGTTCTCGTTTTCCCTATAACAGGGCCGCAGAACCTACAGGGGGAATGGCACTATCAATTGATTAGATGACGATGTGTTCCGACGCTTTTGGAAAATTAAGAAAGATAGAAAGAAAGAAAGAAAGAAAGAAAGAAAGAAAGAAAGAAAGAAAGAAAGAAAGAAAGAAAGAAAGAAAGAAAGAAAGAAAGAAAGAAAGAAAGAAAGAAGAAAGAAAGAAGAAAGAAAGGAGAAAGAAAGAAAGAAAGAAAGAAAGAAAGAAAGAAAGAAAGAAAGAAAGAAAGAAAGAAAGAAAGAAGGAAAGAAAGAAAGAAAGAAAGAAAGAAAGAAAGAAAGAAAGAAAGAAAGAAAGAAAGAAAGAAGGAAAGAAAGAAGGAAAGAAAGAAAAAGTCAGGAAATGCTGATAAAATACATGGACATAAATCACCAGAAGGGGACGTCATCTGATCTTATCCAGAAATTGTCCAGAAAGTCATTTCCAATGTGATATTGTGTTTTGTATTTATGTATTTCTATATTTCTGTATTTATGTATTTATGTAGGTCTGCAATAAATGTACATCGTCCGAATAAATAAATGAGCACATTTATGCCACAATGATACATCGATAAGTGCAGTTAATATCAACCTCAACTGTATCTGCAATGATTTCTGTGATTGATTTTTGAGCGACTTTTAATTGATTCCTTTTGTTTTGTTTGTTAAAGAATAAATGGGCACAATTAGGGGCTGGGAATGGATTAAATCACTTTTAGTTAATTCTATGGACACACACACAAACACACACACACACAAAGCTTGTTTGATATTTGCTCCCATTATATTTGATTCTCAGAATATCTTGGACAATGAAGATGAGAAATATTGACATCTTAAAAGATCTGAACATCAAGAAAGATTAGCTAATAAACAGCATCCTGTCTCGAAAGCTAAAATATTTTGGTTATATCAAGCGACACGACGGATTGGACAAAATTATAGCAGAAGGTATGGTACCAGGAAGGAGGGGCAGGGGCCGACCGACACGAAGATGGGCACAGGATAAAAGTGACTCCTTGAGTATGAAAGTTCATGAGGCGGGAGAACTGGCGAGAGACTGAGTTTCTTACAGGCAGACTGTGATGAGAGCGACGTTCTGCAAAGGACCTGCTACATGATGATAATATGTGTGTACCGACTGCAGAATATGTATTGCAAGAATGTCCCTTGTACAGCCCCTAAGAAGTGAGTACTGGCCCAGTGAGTCAACACTGCAGCCACAATTGTATGGAACTAAAGCAATCCTCTATTACTACAGCAATCCTCTATTACTACAGCAATCCTCTATTACTACAGCAATCCTCTATTACTACAGCAATCCTCTATTACTACAGCAATCCTCTATTACTACAGCAATCCTCTATTACTACAGCAATCCTCTGTTATCACAGCAATCCTCTATTACTAAAGCAATCCTCTATTACTACAGCAATCCTCTATTACTACAGCAATCCTCTATTACTACAGCAATCCTCTATTACTACAGCAATCCTCTTTTACTACAGCAATCCTCTATTACTACAGCAATCCTCGGTTACTTCAGCAATCCTCTATTACTACAGCAATCCTCTATTACTACAGCAATCCTCTGTTACTACAGCAATCCTCTATTACTACAGCAATCCTCTGTTACTACAGCAATCCTCTATTACTACAGCAATCCTCGGTTACTACAGCAATCCTCTATTACTACAGCAATCCTCTATTATTAGTTCAGTTTAGTCGACGTATCAACATCATGGCACACGGGTGTAACACATAAGTGGTCTGTTTTACTTCTAACTCAAGCCTGAGCTGGAAGTTTCTGAGCGCAGTGCACGAACTCCGTTTTACCAGCGATGATCCTGAAATACTTTGGGTAGATGTTTAACTCAAAATTTTGCCGAGTCAGCGCCGTTAGGCTACTCTTCTCGATTTCCAACTGTTAAGGTAAATTTATACCTGCGCAACAATACACACGGGCGTCCGGTCTTACTACCCAGAGGTCAGGGTAAATTTTTAAAAAATGCCAGCATTCACTGGGGTATGAACACGGAACCTCCAGCTCTCGAGGGGGACCCAGAACCTCGAGACCACGCGACCCCTGCATTAATTAAAAATGGAACAGATGTCTCTGAACGTCTATGTTTGCAGCTACCAAGACCGAATCATCAGGATCATGGAAATGGTTAACATAAGTCTGAAGGTGAATTCTGATCTGACAGTGTGCTATCATGTCGTTATTTCACAAGATACACAGACAGACACGGACATACATACAGGTAGACAAACAGAGATGAGATCAGCTGTGAATGTTCCCCAGTTCTCAGATTTATTTCGCATAATTTCATCCTGAATTATATCCACTACCCGTTCCATCATGTGTCGCATACAGCAGCCTCGACAAGCATCAACAGTTCGCACAGGCACACCGTGTGCAACGGGTCTGACATACGACATTAGGTTGACGACTGGTGACGGTGCCTAATGTCTTCACGAGGTTGTTCCAAAGAACGCAACTGAATGTTGTTATTTTGAAATGACCTGATATTGGTTGTGTGACTAATGAAAGCACTGACGAGACACACATGTTTGTTTGTCCATATTCTTCCATACATATATTAACCTTTCAATTATCAACTATACAAATAATAACTGTACAAATATTAACTATACCGGTATTAGCTGTTCAAATATTAACTATCCTTCCTGTGTGGCACTAGTGAGATATTAGTTGTAAAAAATAAATTAAACATACAAAATGTGACTGTATAAATTTTAACTATACCAATATTAACTATGCAAATATTAACTATGCACATATTAAGTATACAAAGATTAACTATACAAATATTACGTGTACAAATATTAACTATACAAATATTAACTATACAAATATTAACTGTACGAATATTAACTATTCAAATATTAACAATACAAATATTAACTGTACAAATATTAACTGTACAAATACTAACTATACAAATATTAACTATACAAATATTCACTGTACAAATATTAACTGTCCAAATAATAACTATACAAATAATAACTATACAAATATTCACTGTACAAATATAAACTGTCCAAATATTAACTATACAAATAATAACTATACAAATATCAACTATACAAATATTAACTATACAATTATTAACTCTACAAATATTAACTCTATAAATGTTAACTATACAAATATTAACTATGCAAATATTAACTATACAAATGTGAATGGTCTCAGATGTGATAGTTAGAACAGTAACTAGAGGACCGTCTTCCACGCCTTTAGTCGTAATGGGCAAATAGGGCTAGACCTATATTTTATAAGCCAATCTGCACTCGGTAGGTGATGTTAATATCACACCGACCACCTTTACTTCCCAGGACTGTATCTGATACCCATTTACGGCTGTCAACCTGGCAGTCTAGGTCATTTAAACAAAACAAAAAGTCTGGCACTGTCGGGGCATGAACCGACGACCTTTGGTCCGCAGGCGAGCAGTGTGATTGTAGTGCCACTTGAACTAGACACATTGTTGTAAAGACATTAACTGAGATAAGGATGAGAGAACAAAGATATAACACAGAGAACCGAAAAGCCAAGAGCGACTTGCGCGTGCATGACAACAGACATAAACCCATATGCAAAACTTGGGGCATCAAACTATACCGTCATTTACCCAGTACTGGATCCTACAGTGCCATGCTGTCGTTCTTGTATGGCGGGTACACGTGGTTTCTTCTTTCGTGTGTCTCTTTAGATTGTGCTCAAGTACATCTGGCAGATTATGTCATACATGTCCTTCTGTCTGTGTGTCTGTGTGTCTGTGAGTGTGATGTCGTGGGGATGGGGGTCGGTGTGTGCGTGAGATAGAAAAGGGGGTGGGGGCGAGAAACAGAATGTGTGTGTGTTTATGTGTGTGTGTGTGTGTGTGTTTTAAACAGTGTTGTGACTTTCAATGTGTCCAACATTTGTCTCTGCATTATTTTTTTTTAATTTTTTTTTTCTAGAACTGGCTTTTTAAAAAAAAATAAGTCATTTTTTCGGCCATGTTATGACAAGAGGGAAAAAAAGAACATGTTGTGACACCTGGAAGGATCTGTGAAAGGAGGGACAGAGGAAGACAACGAGAGAAGATGCTTGACAGTCTTGTTGCATGGCATGGAGGTGTGTCCGCACACGAACTGATACGTGCTGCAGGAGATCGTGGATTATGGAGAGGCATGATCGCCCACGCCAGTCGGCAAGGCACCTGATGATGATGATGATGACTTTACATTGCGCGCCTTTTGTGAACTAAATACTGACTGTGTCTCGGATGCATGATCTATTCTGTATATCCTCATCTCCAAGGCCTCAAATCTTTTTTTTTGCTTTAATTGCTGGTTCATTTTGCAGATTTCTTTGTTATTTAGTAGGTTAAAGAAATCGCAGGGTGAATATTTCTATCCGGGCTCTAGGGCACTGTTCCAGTGTCCCGGCACATCATTCAGTTTCTGGTACAGGAAGTTGCAGAATCAGCCCCAGCTCTTTTGGTTGTTCTTGTTTTTGTAAGTAAATTTTACGTTCAGTAGTTTGCCATTGCCCTTAACAGCGATGCTACAGCCAGAACCAACGCTAGACGAAAAATAACCTGCAGCTGGGATCGAACCCGGCACTCCGGTATTACGTAGCGCGATTCCATAACCTTAACCACAGTCTCAGATGTTGGATCATAGAGTGAACTAACGAGGAGATGATTTTAGGGATGTGTGAGTTCAACTGCGCCCACTTATTCCCCGCCCCCGCCCCTCCCACAAAGGGGTGAGGCTCTAAAGTTGAAAGAAGCGAGTTGAAATTCCTAGTCTGACCAATACGGCTTCAGTCTGTCACTGACAAGTGAGAAGACACGTAGTCCAGTCACCCCTCTAGTGTTACGACTGCCAATCAATGCTTGCCAGCTGATGTCTGGGACTCAGCACAAGTGTCAGTACTGATGTCTGGGACTCAACACAAGTGTCAGTACTGATGTCTGGGACTCAGCACAAGTGTCAGTACTTTTGTCTGGGACTCAGCACAAGTGTCAGTACTGATGTCTGGGACTCAGCACAAGTGTCAGTACTGATGTCTGGGACTCAGCACAAGTGTCAGTACTGATGTCTGGGACTCAGCACAAGTGTCAGTACTGATGTCTGGGACTCAGCACAAGTGTCAGTACTGTTATCGATGTCGGCTGTGGTCTTCCCCTCAGTGCCTCTACTGTACATTAAAGAAGTCACAAGTCTTTTTTTTTTTTTTCGAAAGCATTCCGAGTCCTAGAAACTGATAGCTGCAGAACTCAGCCGCCCACACTCATTTCTGGAACTAGCTTTTTCTTTCCAGATGGTGACTCAACGTGTTTGTAGGTCTGTTTGGTCATGATCTCACCGGGGGTAGGGCGAAGTGTGGGGGGGGGGGGGGGGGGGGAGAGGGAGTCATCCTTGTTGTCCACTTCTGTTTAACTATAGTGACACTAGAGGAAGTTGAGTGTCTTGGGTGGATGATGTTGAGGGGAGAGGGAACTGGAGAAGTGTACAATGTGGAAGAAGAAGAAGAAGAAGAAGAAGAAGAAGAAGAAGAAGAAGAAGAAGAAGAAGAAGAAGAAGAAGAAGAAGAAGGAGAAGAAGAAAGAAGAAGAAGAAGAAGAAGAAGAAGAAGAAGAAGAAGAAGAAGAAGAAGAAGAAGAAGAAGAAGAAGAAGAAGAAGAAGAAGAAGAAGAAGAAGAAGAAGAAGAAGAAGAAGAAGAAGAAGAAGAAGAAGAAGAAGAAGAAGAAGAAGAAGAAGAAGAAGAAGAAGAAGAAAGAAGAAGAAGAAGAAGAAGAAGAAGAAGAAGAAGAAGAAGAAGAAGAAGAGTGAGAGTGTGACTTTTATTAGGAGGTCAATGGGAAGAAATAAAACAATATGAGCATGTATTTTATTGATACATACATGAAAATTGTAAAAAATACATTACCAGCGCCCAGGAAGCATGAGAAAGAATGTGTGGTGATAGTCACCCGACAAACCGCCCTAGGTAGTCACTAGAAATATACACTTTAATGTCCAATGTAATCCATGTTTCGGGCACAAGCGAATCACGGTTTTACACACAGTGACTGACACAGATCGCTACTTGAGCCAAATCTAAACAAGATATGAATAACAGTTCTCTTTTCAAGTCCGGTCGGTAGCGATCTGTTTCGCCCACACAAACACACGCCTCAACAACTCTTTTCACAAGTTATCCTACACTTGGGAACTCAGAATTAACCAATCAGGACAAACTGGCGATGAAAATCCTCTGTCTGTCATCCAACGATTTCACGTCAATTAAAAGTCAAGAAGGCGGAGATTTGTCTGAAAGAAATAGTTTGATTGGTCGCCATCTAGGGAGCGTCGCGCCTGGTAGTTAATGTTGATTACTGGGCGGGGCTTAAGCTGAACCCCTGGCTGTAAGAGACAGAACGGTGTCTGACGCTTGTCAAATATAACTCGTTCTAACTAGAGAATAAATGTGAACAAACACCAGCGAATCAGAAACGAAGATGCAAACATAGTTTCTTCACCATATTGCCTAGCAATAAATTTCCGTCTTTATACCCGGTCTAATTATTTATTTTGCGCTCTGGCGCAGGGGTATTTGTGTAACATTGTTACTGCTAACCGCGCCACCTCGACAATGTTACAACGCCAGCATGTGGTCGCGGAAGTGTGTCGATCCGTGTTGTAGCTGTATTGTCGGTCGGTGGGGAGATGTTGTCTTAGCGGGGGCTGGGGGGAATCTCAGGATAATGGCGATAGGATGAGATGAGACACGGCGAGAACAAGGACAACGATGAAGACAAAAAGGTCTTTACATCTCCTGAAACACTGACAGATGACTTTCTCAAGTAAAGATTTCCTCATTTTCGCGTGTTCATCTCTTCATCATTATTATCATCAGTTTTTTTCCCCTGCGTCATTTAGTATCAGTGATACTAATAGTCATTTCAGTGTTAGTGGTATTTATGGTCGACGTTGTTGTCGCCGTCTGAACTGCAGCAGCAGCAAAGTCAGTAATTGTTGTATTAGTAGCAACAGTATTAGCAACAACGACATTGGTCGTTGTAGCAGCAGCAGCAAATTCAGTCGCAGTAATTGTTGTATTAGTAGCAACAGCATTAGCAACAACAACATTGGTTGTAGTTGTTGTAGCAGCAGCAGCAATTTAACAATATTAGTTGTAGTAGCCGATGTTGTAGCAGTAGAAGTAACTATTGTTTTGGTTTTAGTTGTTCTAGTTGTTGATGCTGCTACTATTGCCTGTGTTGTTATCAATTTTGTATTTCAGTGACCGTTGAAAAACAGATATCACAAAGTCGAGCTTTATGTACAACTCCTCCTCCTCCTTCTTGTTCTTGTTCTTCTTGTTCTTCTTGTTCTTGTTCTTGTTCTTCTTCTTCTTCTTCTTCTTGTTCTTCTTGTTCTTCTTCTTCTTCTTCTTCTTCTTCTTCTTCTTCTTCTTCTTCTTCTTCTTCTTCTTCTTCTTCTTCTTCTTCGCCCCTTTCGTATCTGTTGGTCTTTATCTCATTAAGGGTGTTTGTGAGGCCCAACTTCATCGTGGTCTTCCCTTTGATCTGTGACCATTATATCTCTTCGACGAGGCTCTCTGTGATAGTTGCTATCCGCACATGTTCCTCGGGTGGTCGAAGCATATCATCAGTTGTTCTTTCATAAACTGTTTGATTGTTTTCAGTCCGAGTCCTCTTGTGATTTCTTCCGTTTCAACTCTTTCTCTTCTTGTTACTGCGACTGCTCTTCTAAGGCACCTCATCTCTTCTTGTGACCCCGACTGCTCTTCTAAGGCACTTCATCTCTTCTTGTTACACCGACTGAACTTCTAAGGCACCTCATCTCTTCTTGTTACACCGACTGAACTTCTAAGGCACCTCATCTCTTCTATTATAATTCTGGCTTCTTAGTTTTAGAAATGCTTGCATGAAGTTGGCGGGAAAATAGTTTGTGTTTTGCTTGACCTTGTTAGACAAAGGTTAACTTTTATGCGTCAAACGTTGTATTAGTTGTCCCAGCTGACAACACGGTCTGCACATCGTGCTGATTTCTCTTTCCATTCTTCCTTCCTCATTTCAGTTCACCTTGTTTGTTGATCTCTTTGCCATTGATTTTTCATGGTTTGGTTTCTGTCTGTCTTCATATCGACATTGCCTGTATATCGACATAGTCTATATATCGACATTGTCTATATATCGACATTGCCTGTATATCGACATAGTCTATATATCGACATTGTCTTCACGTGGACATTGTTGTCGTATGGCAGTTTTGTCGCGCACCTTTACTTACGGAATATTTTCACAAATCCCTCAGGTGCTCTGAGACAGGGGTGTTTTGAATGGTGGCTCTCGTTCGTCTAGAGGCCTAACCCTCGGTTCAAACTTTCCATTCAACCTGTCTCAGGGATGAGGTGACTCGAGCTCTGACTCCACAGAGTTATTATCAACACTTGGGTACCTCTCGGCCAGACGTCCTCATTACTATTTTGCCCCCAGACTGGTAAGCAACGTAAACACAGTCGAATATAAAGACAACAGTGAATATGACAAGACGTGAATACTTTTCTGACTACAACAATTAATTCACCAACTGCAACCTTTCAAAGAAAGAAAGTCTTGTGAACTAAAACTATAATGTATTCAATGCTTCATAACAGGAAAGATCAAAAGTATCATGACGAACTAGAGTGATTGTTCAAATCTCCGAAGAAGAAAGGATAGATACAAAGTCTTCCTACAAACCTATGTCTATTTCCGGCATCATCACAGCTGCGGAGGTGTGGGACAGATTATAAAGGCCCATCAGGAATCAAGCCGCCTCAGTATGCTACTTTGACTTATCTGATTAGATCTCGCAGCTCCTCAGGATGCCAGAATGGAAGTCCACAACGCCTCCCTTCACCGAACGTCTCCACGAGAATGAGGATGCTTCTGGAATTGATCAAGGGCGATCAACTCCCTAGAGATCGGAAGATGTCGACTCTACGTACAGTCCACACATTCAGTAACAGCAGTTCACCACACGTCAGTTGCTTCTCTGGTGTTGGTAGGTGGAAGAGCCCAGGTAAACCACGGACGCTTGTTGGATCTTCAGAAATCCTGAAATTAACAAAGCAACACACCTGAGCGAACCGTACCCCATGTACCAAATTATTCACTATTCTCACTACCTCCACATGCTCAGATATAATTAGGGCTAGTCCAACCCATGAAGGTAGACTTCCCATATCTTGGAACCCATGCAGTTTCCCAGAATGAGCACTAGAGTCGTGCATACGTTTCCCCATCCCTCTAAATAACCCTTTTCCCTAGTTGGAAAGATAAGGTATAGGAGATGAAGACAAAACCAAGATCGAAGGAATTATGCTCCGAAGCATTACTACAGTCTAAGCTTGTTGTGGTTACGATAGCTCCTAGCAACAGCGGATATGACGTCATGCCTGACCCGAAGCCTCTTGTCGTTTCCCAACGGTCCAGCGACTCAACAAGTTCAGAGACCGAATAAAAGAAAACAACTAATCATACAAAGTTAACAATACCATAAATACACTCTAGAAATGTGGATTGATTGATCCGAAGAGGTTTAGAAAGCCGGCTCGAAGAGTTCTCTGAGAAATTTCAGCCGAAAGTGCATTCCAATCCGGATCGCTATCTGCCGTCCTCCATCACCGGCGATCGTAGACAAACAGATTCGCATTATCAACCTGCTGACCTTACTTACCGACACATATAGGCACTGAGCACAAACATTCAATTAAAAGCTTTTAGGGAAACTCACCCATGATAAATGGATAAAGAGAACAAAAGCTTGTCTTTTTAACGGTCAAGTGGCAACAAAAGAAGTGAAAATGCAGTCCCTATCTACAGCAGTTGGTGTAAGAATGCGGCTCACGTATACGGGGAAGCGGCCAGACAATTTATTTTAAATAGGCGTAGAAAATGTGTCCTAACGTGTAAATCGACACTAAAAGCCTAAAAGAATCAATCTAAGAGTGAATTATATGGATTTCTCCTATCTGGACTCCCCCACAACAAACGAACTATATAACTACGGTCGGCCTATCCGATATCATAGTTACAATGACGATTTTGGGGGTGTTCAGACTGTGGACCTGCTCAATGCGGTAGGTGTGTGTATCCTGTTATACGACAATTGTCGACATATCGGTATTGTCTTTGCAATGGGGGATATTTTCACCCAGATTAGGTTGGTTGGGGGGAAGGTCCAAAGCTGACCTAAAACACCGAGATATTCCAGATACTCGGATTAAACGAGAATCTTGAGATAGGTGATAACCACTAGTGATCACGGGTATCACGATGAGCCGACCTAAGGTCGTCACGTGAAAGTAAAGGACCATCACGTGTTGTCACGTGAAACTAACCCGTGGTATAAGTCAGACTTGATTCTGATCAAGTTTAGTTTGTGTCGACCTGTTGGAGCGAGAGGATGTGCGACTGAACGTGAGAATGTCAACGTGAGAGTGCTTGTTGAGAAAGCAGACCCTGACGACGAAGTGTGAAGCCGAGATCAACCATGCCAGTGTGTGAGATGGCCAGAACCTCAACTTGATCCATGGGAGCCGACTTTGGTCAGTGAATGCAAGAAGAACCTACACGTTGAAGGCTGCGTGAATTGGTGTGCTAGAGCTGTTTACTAGGACACCGACAGGACTTTTCTGTAAGTGTGAATACGTCAATAAACTCATGTCTCGTAAGCTTACATCGGTGTCGGCTTGTACCAGTTGTGTAACGTGGAGTGTGTGAGAAGAACATTCACGACACACGCATGAACACTACCTAGACAACGAGAATATAAACACATCACTTATTACAGTCTTTATATCGTCATTGTCTTCAATATCGTCCTTGGTTATATATTGTCTTTTCTTTGCCTTCAACTTTTCTCTCCTCCAAATAAGCATGAGTTGTGAAAAAAATTTAACAAAACTCACACCCAGTCACAGTCCACCCAGAACCAGTCACAGCCCACCCAGAACCAGTCACAGCCCACCCAGAACCAGTCACAGCCCACCCAGAACCAGTCACAGCCCACCCAGAACCAGTCACAGCCCACCCAGAACCAGTCACAGCCCACCCAGAACCAGTCACAGCCCACCCAGAACCAGTCACAGCCCACCCAGAACCAGTCACAGCCCACCCAGAACCAGTCACAGCCCACCCAGAACCAGTCACAGTCCACCCAGAACCAGTCACAGCCCACCCAGAACCAGTCACAGCCCACCCAGAACCAGTCACAGCCCACCCAGAACCAGTCATAGCCCACCCAGAACCAGTCACAGCCCACCCAGAACCAGTCATAGCCCACCCAGAACCAGTCACAGCCCATCCACAACCAGTAACAGCCCACCCAGAACCAGTCATAGCCCACCCAGAACCAGTCATAACCCATCCACAACCAGTAACAGTCCACTCTCAACACCCCGATGCATAACCCATCTACAACCAGTCATAGCCCATCCACAACCAGTCATAACCCACCCAGAACCAGTCACAGCCCACTCTAAACACTCCCACGCACAACCCACCCACGAAGCACCCAGAAGACCCAGTAATCTTGCCAATCCCTGGATGGGTTGTGCAGTTATAGTTTTCTTTAGAAAAACGTCACAAGTGTCAGGTCAACTGTCCCAGGTTGCCTTGCCATGCCCAAGTGTCAGGTCAACTGTCCCAGCTTGCCTTGCTATGCCCAAGTGTCCGATCAATTGTCCCAGGTTGCCTTGCTATGCCTAAGTGTCAGGTCAACAGTCCGAGGTTGCCTTGCTATGCCTAAGTGTCAGGTCAACAGTCCGAGGTTGCCTTGCTATGCCCAAGTGTCAGGCCAACTCTTCTAGGTTACATTGCTCTCCTCGACTTACGACCGATTTTGGTTAAGACTAACATGTTGAAAGTCGAACTGCTAGTCGGTCGACTTTATGTCCCTCATCGATTTCCTAATTTAAACGGGTACTGAAAAAAGTTCTGAAAGCACAAAATGTAAATCTATATAGGTAAAATGATTGTACATTTTGGGGAAAATAGTCAACATGGCCCTGCTGTATCAGCTTCCTGAACTTGTTGACTGTACCACTGAAGTTATCTTTGTTTATTTGCTATCTTTTTTTTTTATGCGTGAGAAGAAGTGATTAATTATGCTTGAGATCCCCCGATGAGACTGACCACCTATATACTGACCTAAAGTGTAGCACAACAGCTGTATGTTATGACAGCCCAAAGATATTAAACATTATCTGTAAGCGAATCAAGTCCAAACATGGAATTTGTACCCCGCCCTAGCAGGAGAGGGACAAAACTAAGACAAACACAAGCAATTACAATCAAGACTGGGCAGAAATGTTTCCCTTTCCCTGGCTGGCCATTTTCTGCATCACTTCCCTCGTGATTTGTAAATAATTGCCACAAATGGGAACCCATATCCAGTGTCGTAAATTACTGACGCATGTTGTTAGGATGTCGTAAAACTGCTCCATAAATCGCGTTAGTGTTCCTTGAATCCACAACACGGGAAAAGGGAGGAAGGGGGGGGGGGGGCACATTTGGTTCCCTGAATTGGTTGACGAGATGTACGGGCAGATTGTCTTCCCCTTCTTCCCTGTCCCTGGTTTGGCGGCCAGTCTTTGTCGCCGCCTCCTCCACCACTGATGGATATGTCTGACTGTTCGACACGTGTTTCCTGCAAGTCTCGTGTTTTCTGGTGCTCGCCTGCCGGCCTGAAGATGTTGGGTTCGAATCCACACCGTCAGAATATTTTGGAAATTCATCTTGTCAGCCAGGTCAACCTAGTCTTCAATAATTACTAGATATTCAACAGGGAAGTAAAGGTGGCCGGCCTGAACGACTTAGCAATATGAGTCTACCATCATATGTCTGACTACTCCCTGAAGTCACAAGCCTCCTTTACTAACTGGCTGACTGACTGACTGACTGACTGACTGACTTCTTCTTTTGTTCACATGAAGTAGATTACTTATATCTGCAATGTTGTCTCTAGTATAAATTTGACTTGCTGACTGATTGATTGACTAAATGATTGACTGAACGATTGACTGATGGACTGACTGATTAAGTGATGGACTGACTGATTGAAAGATGGACTGACTGATTGAGTGACTGTTTGAGTGATGGACTGATTGACTGATCGTTTGACTCATTGATTGACTCATTGAGTGACTTATTGATAAGCTGACTTATTGTCTGTTGATTGACCTAGTGACTAAATGTTTGACTGACTGATTGACTGACTTATTGACCGACTGACTGACTGGACAATTGACTGGTTGATTGAATCACTGACTGATTGAGTGAGTGACGGATTTGTCACCCTCTCTCTCTCTCTCTCTCTCTCTCTCTCTCTCTCTCTCTCTCTCTCTCTCTCTATCTATCTATCTATCTATCTATCTATCTCTCTGCGTGTACCTTGATCTGACTTCTGGTGTGGGGAATGCTCCCTCTGTGGCGATCTGACTCCAGGTGTGGGGAAGGCTCCCTCTGTGGCGATCTGACTCCAGGTGTGGGGAAGGCTCCCTCTGTGATGATCTGACTCCTGGTGTTAAAAAATGGTGGAGGAAGAAGAGGGATGTTAAAAAAGACACACTTATTGGAATAGAAACCCAAAAGAAGTTGAAGAGGAAATACAGGCTAGTATAAAGCTTATACAGAAACAAGTCTATCTGATATTAACAAAACAATGTTATCCACCAAGATTCGTCCAGGCACAATACATTTTTACGGAGAGAAGTTAATGTGTTGACGAAGCGGCAAGTGAGAGGTTCGGTCACTCCAGTGGACAGTTGTTCACACGCACATGGCTTTGATACTGACTGACCCAACAAGCCATGTGGTGGCCCTTCATAGCGTTGTTCGTGAGAGTGGATCCATCAAAAAATGTATGTGGCGACAGTTCACAGCTGTGTTGACGAGAGTGTTAAAGCAGTGTAAACGGTGAAAATAAAACTCATATTTCCACATCCTTGGGCATATTGGGCATACTGTTGTCAGCACGTATAATAAACAAGTATAGATAATAGGACAGATTATTTAGGGGTGACAAGTTCGATTCCTGTAGTTCAAGATTTCAAATGGTATGCTGTCTTGTGTGTCCTTCCATCTCCCTACTTCTCTCAATGAGTGCCGATCATTGCATGTTTGTTTATCATACCCAAATCGGTGTGCACATACTGCCACGTGTGAGCCAAGAAACAGTTGAGCAGTAATCTCAGTAATCTCAGTAACCTCCCAAGTTGCCCCATCCATTCAGTCCCCTTCAGACATGGGGACCGCTACAATCACAGCCTGCGATTGAGATATCCATGGATTGGGTTTCCCCTGCAATGACACAAACAGGTCTTCAATCAGTCAAGACAACACCGCCAGTCAGCAGACAGACACTCCCGCCAGCCTGTTATTAAATGTGATAAATATTTACCCTGGACCGACCCGACAATGAGAAGCAGACGATCACAGAGATCCCGCCATTGTGGACATCGACAGCTTGTAGCGGAAGAGAAACCCGGGGCCGGTTAATCTCATTTGTCTTCCAAAAACAGAATTGGCCGGTAATTTGCCATAAGTAACAGGGGCGGGAGATCTGCTACGTTGACTAATTGTACCCCGCGTGTTGGTCCCTTTATTTCATGGAACCCAAACGGGCGAGCAGACCCCAAGAACTGGCATTCTCCGACAGAGGAGCCACTTCTGGACGATCTCTGTTGACCGCTATGCTGAACGCAACAAAGGCAGATTACACATTTGATCCGCGGCTCCAGAATGTGTCTGTGTGTGTGTGTGTATGTGTGTGTGTGTGTGTGTGTGTGTGCGTGAAAGTAGTTTGATCATTTTACTGAGGGTTGATTTATTGCAGACTAAGCGATGCAGTAATCAGACGACCCATGTCTCAATTGCTTGTGGTTGGGTAAGTGAACAGCGCAGTCACGCGTGTCCACAGATACAGCATCGGTTGCACACCAATGGCGAGACGGGCATGTGATGCTAAACCATTTAATATAGAGCTTTTGGTGCACATCCATTTTACAGATCTTGGTTATTTATGTGCAGACTGTTTGTTTCTCACCTCTCTGGCAGTGAGATATCTGCTTGACTTTCCGACCATCAACCAAAGAAACAAAGAAATTGAGGGCTTGTGCATACCTTAATATATAAGTGCTGATTTAAAAATAAAAAAATGCATCAAGCAGTCTACACTGAAAAAGCGACAGGCTGAAGAGGGGTAAGTCATGGCTGGATCAGGCAGAAGTTGTCATCAAGCAAGTATGGAACCCTAGCCATATGACTCATGGTGAAGAGTGGACACCCGTGCCTCCTGTGTCATCTTTTCTTGTCTTGTCACGCTCGACAGAAGACGTACGGAGCTGTTGTGGTCAATGCAGAGGTCAACGCTCTCATCACCGATAATTCCTACAAAGCAGAAGCACTGATCTACACAGACGGATCTGTTATACGGAAACAAAAAAGTGCATGGGAGTTCAAAACACGTTCAGATGGCAGAACAATAAAAGAAGCCAGAGGTGCTTTCTCCATGACAACAAGCAGCATGACGATGGAGGTGCAGGTGATAACGCGAGCATTTCTATGGTTAGGAACGTAAGTCTATACCGGTACGTGTGTACTCAGCGATTCCACTAGCATGATCCGGAAGATCCGGGAAACTTCTGCACGAAGGCAGTGGATTGAGCCATTACAGCAATCCAATGTATCTAATGTTTCACAATACCCCTGGAGACTGCTGTTGACTGTTCATTTCAAGAGAGCCCTGTCTCAAGTAGCGTGGACCTTTTCCACTCATTTCTGCCATCATCATCATTAAGCGCTGTATTCACTGGCGTAGGCGATCACACCTCTGACTTTTGGAGTAATTGAACAGCCCAGTGAGTTTAGCACACTAAACATCCCAGGCAGGACAGGATTATCCATTAGGCACATTAAGCCTATGCCTAGGGCATCTCATCGCCGCAGAGAATAGGAAACAAAAGACTAAAGGTCTAGCCCTATGTGCCCGATACGCCCGAAGCCCTGCAAGAGGGTATTTCACTTGAAACATCTAGGAGAGGTGCCGGTACCACCCAAGGCAGAAGAAAAGAATAGGCAAATAGGTCCAAACGCTCCACAACACAAACACAGATGCTGAAGTACCCTGTACACAACACAACACAAACACAGATGCTGAAGTACCCTGTACAGAACAAAAGACAATACTAGATGAAGGATTTGCAAATGGCTTTCCCTAAAGTTGTACCCCTTAATTTGGACCAAGCATGGCTTCAAGCATGGCTCCAAGCATGGCTTCAACCATGGCTACAACCATGGCTACAATAATGGTTCCAAACATGAATACAAGTATGGCTCTAAGCATGGCTACAAGCATGGCTCCAAGCATGGCTCCAAGCATGACTAAAAGCATGGCTAAAACATGACTACAAGCATGTCTACAAGCATGTCTACAAACATGACTACAAGCATGACTACAAGCATGTCTACAAGCATGTCTACAAACATGACTACAAGCATGACTACAAGCATGACTACAAGAATGTCTACAAACATGACTACAAGCATGACTACAAGCATGACTACAAGCTTGACTACAAGCATGTCTACAAACATGACTACAAGCATGACTACAAGCATGGCTAGAAGCACCTCAACAAGCATGGCTACAAGCATGGCTACAAGCATGACTACAAGCATGACTACAAGCATGGCTACAAACATGACTAAAAGCATGAATACAAACATGAATACAAGCATGTCTACAAGCATGACTACAAGCATGACTACAAGCATGACTACAAACATGACTACAAGCATGTCTACAAGCATGACTAGAAGCATGACTACAAACATGACTACAATCATGGCTAAAAGCATGACTACAAGCATGACAACAAACATGACTACAAGCATGGCTAGAAGCATGACTACATGCATGGCTACAAGCATGACTACAAACATGACTACAAACATGACTTCAAGCATGGCATCAAACATGACAACAAGCATGGCTACAAACATGACTACAAGCATGACTACAAGCATGGTAACAAGCATGGCTACAAACATGACAACAAGCATGACTACAAGCATGGCTAGAAGCATTTCAACAAGCATGGTAACAAGCACGGCTACAAGCATGGCTACAAACATGACTACAAGCATGGAATCAAACATGACAACAAGCATGGCTACAAACATGACTACAAGCATGACTACAGGCATGGTAACAAGCACGGCTACAAACATGACTAAAATCATGACTACAAGCATGGCTAGAAGCATCTCAACAAGCATGGTAACAAGCATGGCTAAAAGCATTACAAGCATGGCTACAAGCATGGCTACAAGCATGACTACAAGCATGGCTACAAGCATGTCTACAAGCATGACTACAAACATGACTACAAGCATGACTAGAAGCATGACTACAAACATGACTACAAGCATGGCTAGAAGCATGACTACAAGCATGACTACAAACATGACTACAAGCATGACTACAAGTATGGCTACAAGCATGACTACAAGCATGACTACAAGCATGACTACAAACATGACTACAAGCATGGCTACAAGCATGGATACAAGCATGACTACAAGCATGACTACAAGCATGGCTACAAGCATGGCTACAAGCATGGCTACAAGCATGGCTACAAGCACCAGTGACACTCCCCGGCAGTAGCAGACATGCATTCCTGAACCCGAGAATCAAAGCAAGAGATGAAACCTGAGTTCTCACCTGGCCAACAGAATTATCTGTCTGTATTGACCACTCTTGTATGGCGGTGTAGACAGTGCCTCGTGAGTCTGAGGGTTTAGGGTAGCATAGTTAGTGCTGGGGCCACTCACTTTGCAGGTTAGGATGTTCCTTTCTGCACCGTCATCAAAATCTAGCACCTTACCGAGGATCGGACTTCCCTGGTCTTCCGCATGAGAATCCTACGCTGTAACCACTCGGCCAACCGGCCCCAGAGAAGGATACCCACGCAAATCCAACAATCCAGCTGACAGACAAATGAACAGTTTCTGTGCTCAAGCTGGCTGAAACACGGACTCTACGCCCAGCAGGGGTTGAACAAGGAATAACATGTTAGTTTAGACGTGACTATAGCGGCCCCATGCCGTGGCTGCACATTTATCACTCAGTGCCACGGGAATTGTATGAAGACAAATGGTGGGCGCACACGGTGCCAAGTCTATTCACCTGTCACCCGATCGCAGGAACAGGTATCACACGTCCTCTGCCACACCCTCTCTGCGCCAGGAAGGTCGTGAGGGCAGCTGAGAATTTGGATATCACTATTAAAGAATGATATCGGCTGAGTTGTAGGGACTAACTGGGAATTAGGGCATCGTTTGTGTCCCCCAATTGGGCAGAACCATATTTCACCAAGAATTGTCCTCCTCGCTTGCCAGAGACAAATGGACCTTTATCTCTCCCGTATCGGATAATCGGCAAATCTGACCTTCCTATTTATAACTTAACTACCCGGGATTCAACAAGACACGAGGGGTCAAACAACCATTAACGCTGACAATCAGTGACAATGACGCGTAAATGAGTATGTTCCCACCTTCACAATTTACTGATACGTCACGGTTGATGAAAGGCTGTCTGCTTGGCAAACAAAGGGGCATCATTCGATACGTGTTGGGTTTGGACAGAATTTGTTGAACATGCCACAGAAACGGGGTTTTCATGGGACCGTACCTGACCCAGGGGACGCATGGGACCGTACCTGACCCAGGGGACGCATGGGACCGTACCTGACCCAGGGAACGCATGGGACCGTACCTGACTCAGGGGACCCATGGGACCTGGAACGAGATATGTCGTGATCACCAAACAGAGAATTATGTACACAGTTATCGCAAGCCTCATCGTCATCGTTTTCTTCCTTTTCCTCCAACTTCGACTACCCACTACTACTGCTGCTGCTGCTGCTGCTACTGCTGCTGCTGCTGCTACTACTGCTACTACTACTACTACTACTACTACTACTACTACTACTACTACTACTACTACTACTACTACTACTACTACTACTACTACTACTACTACTACTACTACCTCTTCTCCTCCTCCTTCTTCTTTTTCTTCTTCTTGTTCTTGTTCTTGTTTTTCTTCTTCTTCTTCTTCTTCTACCGCTGCTGTTCTCTTTTCCTTCTTTCTCTAATCACCCATCCCTCTTTCTCCTCCTCTTGTCGCCTCGCCGGTTATGAACTCTGTTCTAGCTGTTCGTCAACTTGTTTTTGTTTTGTTCCAGAACCTGTTTTATACACATAGCCGTTCTATACATCTGGTTTATCTGTATGCAGACTGTTGGTATCTCGCCTCTCACGTAGATGCATTCTGACTTGAGAGAAACTACCCCTAATTGAACGCATCTTACGACATGCATCGATGGGAGCAATGAGTGTTTTTGCCACAAACCTTCCCCGTCCTTGCAGCCCACACTGTCAACACGAGCATCACCACTCAAGATGGAGGTTCCAGAAGTGGACAAACAACCAGAACTTTCCACCGAAGGTTACGGCTGGTAACAACGAAGAAGAAGAAAGAGTACTGATCCCTGGCTCTGTTGACTGGACTGTTAGTTGTGTATCCTTTACAGGGAGTTGGTGAACCAGCCCCAGCGCTTTTTGGCTATTGTGGGTTTTCTAGGTACGTTTTACGTTTGCAACAGCTAGGCTACAAAGGCCGACGATTGGCCTGTAGCACAGGTTGAACTTTATCACCTCTCCGGCTGTGATCTGGTCTGAAATTACGTACTGTCCATTAAGCCAACACATAGCGGCAGTAGCGACAGACTGAACTTTCAGCCTGAAATACGTCATCGCACCCAGATGACCTCATGCAGAGCGTCGGCGTCATAAACTAAATTCAGAGCCAGCAGAAGTGGGACTGTATGTCTGCTCCAAGTGGTTGCATGTTGTGAAGGCCGGCTTCAAGCCGACCTAGCCACCGTGCACGGATTGATTGTTTGTGCTAACGCATCTTGAGTTCTGCTCCCTTTGTTCTGCTGAACATCCCATCCGGCGTCACGTGTCTATGTCAACTGCTGGGATGACTTTATGACAAGGTGATACGTGTCTATGTTAACTGCTGGGATGACTTTATGACAAGGTGATACGTGTCTAATTGACCTGGGATCCTGGGTCATTCATGCATAACATGGAGAAAAAGGAATATCAAAGGGCAAAGGATTTTGACCACATCACTTTCAACTAACGATTGTTGTCTATGAGCTAATTAAGTTCGCCAGCTATACTTTAAATGCGAAAATAGGGCCCTTTGCTTTAGTTAACCACAAACGTAGCTTAGACCAGCAGACATTATTACATCAACCCCTATTTTTCTTCTTCGATCCTTTTGTCAGAAAACTTAGAAAGCTTCGATAAAAGCTATCGTGCAGTCCATACCTCCTAGTCTACCATACAGCTTTGTCTTCAGTCTGGCTGGAAAAGGCCATAACGCTTCTCTATTGGCAGCATCCAGTTGACAGTTTTGGAGCACATGCTCAACATTTTCGGGTGCCAAGTTGCAGGAGCACGTCGCCGTGTTTCCTACACTGAAAAGTTTGAACAATTGTTAAAGAAGTCTGTTGTGCCATGTCTCTTTAGTATGAATTTAATACGTTGCGCCTTGCCCGTCTCTATGGAAGCTTCAAGACCTCAAACCTCTCTAGAGAGGCGATCAAGTGAGTCTTGAGAATTGTGTGTGTGTGTTCAGTCACCTTTCACGGATACTAGATTGCAATAATGTAGTCTGTTGGTGGGTTTAGTCACTATTTGACTGCACCATGTCACCACCACTTCTTGCTAATCTGTCCGCTGTTTGATTGCCTTCCAAGTCACAGTGACCTAAATCATGACCTACCGCAGTACAGATGGTTCTGCCGAAGAACCTGGGTGAATCAGCTGTTGTGTCAAGTCTACAAACTGAGTATCTGTTGGGTTAACAATTGCTTGTAGAACTGACATAGCATCAGTCACAACGACCACTCTGCTAAATGTGCTGTGCTGTTGTCCACTCAAGAAAGAACATGCCATTAGAAGTTTATCTGCCTCTGTTCTTTTTCTTTTTTTTTTTGGAGGGATAAGAACCTGTTGATATAGCTTGCTGAAACATTTTTCCTTGATCATTCTGCTTCTAACTGCTCGCATGACCGCTCTCGCGTGATTGACAAGATCAAGGTTTGATAAATCAGCCTATGGTTTGGATCAATACCTGTGGGAGACCAGCTGTGTCGGCACACAAACAGTGAATCTAGTCGCCGCTTCTGCAGGCCCATCATTGTTGATCCATTGTAGCCAGTCTCAGGGTAAACCACTCCTTCCTTCATGTGCCAACAATGCCGAAGATGATCCGTGAGGCCAACCTACTCACGCAGAAGTATCTACCACAAAGAAGCAGAAAGGATCAGTGCCAATAACACTGGCCCGAAACAGCACAACCAGACGCAGGCGACGGAGAATCAGCTAGCGTGTATTGAATAAATGAGTCCAACAGATGGCATGACTCTAGTTACCAGCGTTCTCTTGTTTTTATGCTTGATAGAAGTAATATCTTCATTATGTTACTTGTCTATCAGTGTTGAATGCTTATTGCCAACATCTTGTTTCAACATATGCAACCCCCGTGATACAATTGGGATTAGCTATTCATCTTCTTGTGCCACAACATTATTATCATATTTATTATCTATTCCAGTGGTTATCCTAAAAATGAAGTTGTCTCAATGGCTTAGGTACTCCCATCCATTCCATGAAATCTGTAGACAGACAACAATAGTGTAGCAGATGGGAGGCCCGGGTTTGCACACTCATAAATCCTCAATATCATCAGACAAACACATGAGACCTCTATACGCAGTATGGTGTCAAAGATGGTGTGGGGATGGTGTGTTTAGTGTGGGCATGTATCTAGTGTGGGAATATGTGTAGTGTGGGCATGTATCTAGTGTGGGGATGTATGTAGTGTGGGGATGTCTGTAGTGTGGGGATGTGTGTAGTGTGGGGATGTGTGTAGTGTGGGGATATGTAGTGTGAGGATGTGTGTAGTATGGGGATGTGTGTAGTGTGGGGATGTGTGTAGTGTGGGAATGTGTGTAGTATGGGGATGTGTGTAGTGTGGGGATGTGTGTAGTGTGGGGATGTGTGTAGTGTGGGGATGTGTGTAGTGTGGGGATGTGTAGGGTGTGGATGTGTGTAGTGTGGGGATGTGTGTAGTGTGGGGATGTCTGAGGTGTGGTAATGTGTCTTGTGTCGGGATGTGTGTAGTGTGGGGATGTCTGTAGTGTGGGGATGTGTTTAGTGTGGGGGATGTCTGTAGTGCGGGGATGTTTGTAGTGTGGGAATGTTTGTAGTGTGGGGATGTGTGTAGTGTGAAAATGTCTGTTGTGTGGGGATGTCTGTGGTTTAGGGATATGTGTAGTGTGGTGATGTGTGTAGTGTGGTGATGTGTGTAGTGTGGGGATGTGTGAAGTGTGGGGATGTCTGTAGTGTGGTGATGTGTGGGTTGTGTGGTGTGGGGTTGTGTGTTTTTTTTTTTTTGGGGTGTGGTGGTTTGTGTTGTTGTGTTTGTGGGTTGTGTGTGGTGTGTGTTGTGGTTTGTGTGTTTTGTTGTGTTGGTGTTTGTGTGGGGTTGGTTGTGGTGTGGTGTTTTGGTGTTTGTGGGTG